TTATTCCTGCCTCTCACTCTAATCGTCTTTCTACCCCCATCATTGCCATTAGCGGTCCATTCTAGATGTCGATGGTCATAACATAAACCACACAAGTATGTTCGAAAATATTACAATCTTAATTAGCGTATGTTGTCAAGTATGTTCAAGTAAGATCGATCCAACAACTCACAATCAGTATCCTTCATTAAAATATTTTTTGTCCTTTTATGTGAATTATTTCCAAAATAGTTCTTTTTTTGGAGTCTTGTGATCTAAAATTTCGACGTTTTCCCAATCAAAGCTGTGATTGGAATCAATTATATGAAAAATTCGTCTCATGAAGAACAACATTTGGTGATAGTCTTTTTCTAATTGTTGAAGGCATCATGCCAATTGATATTTATTTCGTTTTCCATGATATACAAGGTCTGTTTTCTGTAGCTGAACTAGTGTACACTTTTGGAACTTAAAATAAGATAGGAAAGCGAAGAAAAAGGATTCTAGTGCAGTCTAATGTAGGAACAGAAAATAGACCAACAATTTTCACCGTATGCGACAATCATCCTACGATGAATGGCATGACGTCTTTAGCGGTTAGAAAACATATATCATACTGCACGTTGACGAAACTCGTTCATGATGAAATTCGTTGATAAAATTCGTTGATCAAATTCATTTATAAAACTAATTTTCCAGTTGAAACACCATTTCATCATGCTTAATGAGCAAACTGGATAGCAATGTAAAGCAATTAATTGTGCTCGTTATCAACGTCTTTTATCTAAGGACACGTGATATAACATACACGTAACAGCATATGTAACATAAAATATGCGAAACAGGCTTTGATACCTTGCCGGAAGTAACTATCACAAGGCCATTGTTATCTTTGCATTTGATCAAATATTCAAATTATACATTCTTATTCATTTGTTTCTTATTTTATTAAAATAAGAAAAAATATATATATATTGTATATACATATAGTGAGTGCAAAAAATATTTGTACAGAAAAAATATCTTTTAAAAAAACTTTATTTTTAAAAAGTAAATATTATCCAGCGAGAAATAAATCATCGAATTGATATCGAACTGATATCAATATGATAATTTCAACACTAATTTGACGTTCGACTTTTAATTGACGATCATATCTTGCTGGATAATTAACAATTTATTCATAAAGAATAAATAGACTGTATGTTTCTTAAAATTATATATACCAAAAAGATGTGTATTAATTATAGAAAATATATCATCTGAAAAATAAGCAAAAATTAAAAATTGTATTGTTTAGATGCTCAAAAAGTATTCGTACAACCAAGAAATTTAGTTTTTAAAATCAGGAATATATGCGAAATTCGTTAGAACAAAATGTATTTATTGTATAAAACTGCTAATTAACGTTTATTCTCTACAAATAATACTTTTTTTACAAAAAATTTCATTGTACGAATATTTTTTGCACTCACTGTATATATGTTACGAAACATATAATCTTGTGCTGCTAAGAAGCTACTATAAAGGCCCGTCTACAATACACGGAGTAAGAAGTAAGAGTAAGAAATTGACCAATCACAGTCGAATGTGAGAAGAATAATCGACTGTGATTGGTCAATTTCTTACTCTTACTCCGTGTATTGTAGACGACGCCTAAGACAGTCTTGAAATAAGAACGGACTATGAATTTGCCTATAATTTAAATATTTAGAACAAAAAGGAGAAAGAAAGAAGATCGAAAAAAGTTTTATGTGATTACAGTCAGAACAGGCCTGTCCAAAACTCGTAAGCCGAAATGCTTCCACCTCTCTGCTGTCTCGGTAGCGAGACAAAGCGTAAATAACAAAGGATAGACGCCAGCATTCCATTTGAATCAGGTCTGTTCAACGTTGAAATATGCAACGTTGCAACACGTTGTATCAATATTGCTGCAAACTGTATTCATATTTTCTATAATAAGAAATAAGTATGCCCACCCCCCGGAAGAAGATTGGTATAGCATCATTATGAGTGTCACAGACACAGAGGATGACAAAATAAAAAACGGTTACTATAGTTGTAGATTAAAAGACGGATTTCCTTGGTTCCTCCACTCTACGACGCTTATTGTTAGACAGATCTGGGCTCCTATTCTTGAAAAGGTATCGCATTTATAACGCATACTATAGTATTTTCCTATTTTTCGTATGCAATACTTTTCAAGAATAGGGGCTCTGGTATGTATTCTTTGTTATTTACATTCCTTCTCATTGTACCAAAACAATAGAGGGAGGCCGAGAAGGGTTTCGGTTCACGAGTCGAGTTTTGGACAGGCCTGAACCAAAATATCATAGTCGAACTTTAATTTATTAAATATGTTAATTGTAAATGAATTTCCGGCATAATATTTTTAAAATACAGCTGAATATTTTTCTTAATTATTGGACAATTCTTTTCCAAATTTAATTTGATAAATATGTCGCTATGATTCGTCATATTGCTATTGTTTTGCTGAAACATTATGTCGAAATTAATTGCGCAATTATCAATATTTTTGATAATTTCTGAAAAGATCAGAGTGTCTATATCCTTTTTTTATAAAAATACTCGTATAATTGCAGATTACACATTTTATCAAGATTTCGTCATATAATTTTATAAATGTTGTATCGGGACAACGTTTATGAAATTAATAAGAGAGAGAATTACTAGTTATATAGACTTTCGAAATTAAAATAATGTAGGAAATTAGGCAAATAGAGAGTTCGGTGTGGTACTTAATGCACAATCATTGATTCTATGTATATCTAAATTATATTTTTGACTTGCTGTACACCTAAGTGTAATTATAATAATTTACACACACACACACACACGCACGCACGCACACACACACACAAACACACACAATTTCAAGAAATTTCATGAAAATTTTCTCATTGTCGCTATTTCTGAAAAGCTTCGAGAAAATATTTGATCAAGGAGTCTCCTACTATTGCTCCAAAGACCAATCACAATCGAGTTGAATGGTCGTCGAAAATATAAATGATCGCTTAACAACATCAACGCGTCACTTTTGGCTCATACGTCTTAGATTCTAGAGGATCGTTTATTCGCAATAAATTTTGGAAGTCTAAAGAATTATATACAAGATGGTCAAATACGGCACGTATCCAGACTGTAAGAAGACCGCTATCGTTTATCATGATTTGCTGGGAAAAGAAGAGGCTCGATATCGATTTCCGTCATTTATCGAAAATGGATTCTGTCTGAGAGCTTTAAAAAAAAAATAGAAAGGCAAAAAGGAATCGTACACCGAACGAGTGGATTTCTGGACAGATTATGAAAAACTCACGGAATTTACAGTGTTTATAGCGTTGATAACGTATAATCTAGTGCGGAGACGAGTAAAAAAGTCTTGGATCATAGATTAGTGATGGTGACTTTTCAACAGATTAACAGTTTACTTGCAATTGTTTGAAGATTTTTCTATTTGTGTGAGTTATATTAAGGGGGTATACCTAAGTAAAGGGCTTTAAGGCTTTCTTTGTCAATTTTTTTAAAAGTAACTATAAGTTTTAGAAAAAATATAAATTGATGTATTAATTGGGCACACTTTGAACATATTTTAAGAATTTTTATATGTAAAAATATAAATATATGACGATGTTGCTCAACATTGTAGACTTTCGTGTTCAAAAAACATGGTCCATCGGCTGTGTAGAGAACTCAAGTTGTAATTATCTGAAATAAAATTTGTTCGAAAATTTCAAATCTATATGAGTGTAGTTTCAGTTAAGCGTAGCGATTTTTAAAAATAATTTCTTTTTTA